CAGCAGGTGGCATGATTATTAGGGCACTGGATTCCCATGTGGCCAACCATAGTTTTAGTCCTAGCCCCGGGAGAGAATCACACCAGGTGCATGTGTATGTATTTGTGACTTGATTTTACTATGCTTTCTGTGTGGTGCTACTTTTTTTAAAAATAAATGTCAATACTTTAACAAATTTGAACTTACATAAAAATCTTAGTTTTCATATGCAGAAAGAAACTTACTTATGGCCAGGTAGCATCTAGTTAGTAACTCACTGCCCAGAACATAATGTAGAAATGATGGTAACAAAGGCCTATCATTGATAGAGATTTCTGCAATACTGTGTAGAATCAGCCGAGATCTCAGATGCATTTCTCAGTTAAAACTATTATTTCTGTGACTATGCATTAGTGAAGTTTCAAAATGTTAGTACAGGATGACTGGAGATGTAGTTATTAAAACTAAAAAACCCATACCAAGTTTAGGCACTAAAGATAGTCACCAAATAGTGGAAGCAATAAATCTCTCATTTCTTCATTTGATCTCAAATACCTGAAATGGGAGTAGGGGAGAGATTGGGTATGTTAGAGAGAGTACTCTTTATAAAACACAATTTTAAAAAGTTCCCCATTCTGACCATGCTTTCTCAACTCTATGTCTCAATACCCTGGACATTTAAGAAAGGGATGATGACAAGAAAAGAGAAAAGGAAGAACACAGAAGGGTCACTCTGAACTATAGATATCATAGAAATCAACATGTTTGAATAAAGCTCTTCAAAACAGGATTCCAAAGGTTGTGATAATTTAATGTTAATCACTAGACTCTGGAAACTGAAAAGGCTAATGATGGGTTCAGTGTCGACAGAGGATTCTCTAGGGATGGAAATAATCCTAGACAGACAGTTTGGACTACAGCCACGTCCCTCTCATCACAGCCATTGTCCTCATGGCTGCTAATGTGTCCACAAAGTATAACCCCAGGGACTCAATGCACATACATGGAGGCAACACCCTTCAGATCCCTCAGCTGCAGGTGATAAGGATTCTAGTCTCAAAAGCAGGAAGGGCTGTTGGATTTGATGCTACACCCCAAGGCAAGAACAGACACGAATGTCTGCCTAAAGTGCAGAATCAATATGTATATTGTTTGTATATTAACATTTTTATCATCATCCCCATTACTGAGAAATACACAAGGGGCTTTAGTAAATAGTAAATACTGCTGCTTTTCTACACATGGTAGGTAGATAGTATAAAGAGGAAAATCAGCTTAGACTATAGGTAAGACAAAAAACCGTCATAGTTAGGCCAAGTAATTTTGACTCAAGTTATAAAACTGGACTTCCAGGGGACCAGCAGTTGGTGTAATGGACTCCCATATAGTCGACCACGGTTCGAGTTCTGGACCCAGTGGCTTAAATTCATGCCAGATACGTGTGTAAGTGTGCCCAAGATCCTATGAGGAGAATGGAAGAGAAGGGATTGTGGTGTGGCCATCCCCCCTGGGGGGTGATTGAGAGAAGGGAGGATAAGTAGGGTGTGGTCATCCCCCTTGGGGTGGTTTCTCACTCTTCTCTCTCTCTCCAGCAAGCACGCTCTATAGCAAAAACCTTAAAAAAAAAAAATAGTATCGGGCTAGCCTCAAGACCTGGTGGTTAAGGCAGCCAATCCCACAAGGCCGACCCTGACGTTTTGGTCCTGGACCCGGAAGCTTGAGAAACACGCCAGGCGTATTCAAAATCCCCAAAGGAGGGGGAGATTGAGATGCGACAGCAGCCGACGACTCCTTACGGGGAATGCTTTCTCCCTTCCCACTCTCTCTCTCTGACGCCGCACATGCTCTCTAGCAAAAAAAATCTTAAAAAAAACTCAGAAAAACAAACTCAATCCAAAGGACATTAGAAAAAGAGGAAGTATGGGGCCAACAGGTGGAATGATGTGATTAAGGGTTGGGGGGGGGGGGGGAGGGCCGCACCGCAATCCCTTCTCCTCCATACTTTTCCTGGGATCTTAGCGCACACATGCACACACGTCCTGCATGATTTTCTTTGTTTTCTTTCTTTTTTAGAGATTTTGCCTATAGGGTGTGTATGCTTGCCCAAAAGAGAAAGCAAGAAATCACCCCGCCAGGGAATATGGCCACAGTAACAATCCCTTCTGCTCCATTCTCCTGGGGTCTTGGACATGCATGCATATACACCTGGTATGATTTTTTTTTTTGGAGAGGTTTTCACTATAGGGTGCATGCGCTCGCCAGCCAGACAGAGA